CACCAGGAAGACGGAACAGAGGATGTTCATATGCTGAGGAGCCGACCATGATGTGATTTATAAACAGAAATATAATAGAGGGAGACGTGGAAACACCCACATGGTATTTGGAGATTTTTTAATACTCTAATAAGAATGGCTGGCCAGCGCAGTTCTGGGTTCTCGTTAGCAACTAAAGCATAACTGGGAAGGCTGAGCGGGAGAGCTCTAATAGTCGAGTTCAAAAACAGCCTGATCAATATGAGCTAGATTAGAATGGCATTTATGTACTGTCTTTTATATATACATATAACAATAACTTATTCATTTTTACTACGAAGGGCATTACATCTGACCTCAAAATTTTTGCATCTCCAGTAATTGCCAATAATCCAGAAAATTAGCCAACTAACTCAAGGAGACTGAAGCAGAAGAGAAATTCGCCACTGAGCCAAGAGTTTGAGGTTGCTTTGGTGAGCCGATTTCATCATCTCGCATTGACGCATCGGCACAAACTTACCGCACGTTTCTCAGTAATTCATGTGACCCCCTGGAACATCTTCGCTTGTTTGCGTCTAGAAATCATATTAAATAGAATTAACACTAACTGTATAAGTTCAATTTAAAGAAAAATGCTTAGCTCTGTTAGTTGTAAGGGATCATGAATAACACCTGGGAGCCTATAACTATCATGTTCCATCCATGACTTCTCTAACTTCCCAAAAATAAGATAAATCAAAAAGTAATAACAGACAATAATACCAAATTGTGGTGATGCACAGAGAATGGCCATTGTTTTTGTGCAGTACTGGTCGTAGTGTAAACAGACAGGAAATTATTGGAACAATTGGAGGTCTCGTTAAATAAATATAAACTTACCAACCAATTCAACAATCCTATACTCAGGCACCTACAAGATAAACGAAATTTATGTACAACAAAAGCATGCCAAGTTGGACGACAACATTCCTACAGCGACATGGGAAACAGTGTGAACAGACATCGACCGGCAGGAACGGATAAACAAAGTGACAACAAATCCACTAAGAGAACTCGACAGCAAGAAGTGAACACTTGGACAAACTTCCAGAAACAGTACTAAAGGAAGTGTAAAGAATGACTGAGTAGTTTTACTTATTAAATGTCCAGAAAATCTGAACACGAGCAGAGCACGTCGTGCTCCAGGGCTGCGTAGGGTGGGGTGAAGGCTCCAACCGGCTACCAGCAGTTCACGCAAAATCCGAATCACACACTACTGTGAATATCCCATGGGATCATAAACCTCAAGGCAGCAGTAAAAGTGAGTGCTGTTCCCGCACAGTCGATGTGGCTGTTAACTGAGCTGATGCAACACAGTTTAAGACTCCTCCTTTTTTCTGGTTAGTTTCTAACATTACTTAAGCAAAAACAAAGATGATGGCATCTATCTTGGTTTTCCTCAAGAAAATACTTGGTCATCGCTCTTGTGGTTCAGGGTATTGTGGCAAATTTAAATCTACAGATCAGTATTTGAGGAAAATACAAAGTAGCAAGGTTTGACCATTGGGAGTCCGGAGCATCCGTGTAGGTTGGTAATTGGAATTTTAAGCCTGGTGTTTCAGTTTCGTGGCTCTGAGACACGCACGGTGTGCTCGTACCTGGTGTCAGTTTGCAGGTGTGTCGGGTCAACCTGAGTCATCGGTCCCCCGATTGCCTTGAAAATGATAAGGACTGAGTTTTTTTTTTTTTTCTAACTCCACGAGGAAAAGATATAGACTAGATTCTAGGAAGTGGTGTTTTCTGCCAGGTAAACAAATTTACACCTGCGCACAAGGTCGCGCGGCTTCTTCAGAAGAGAGAGAGCCGTGGTGCTAACGCGGTATTCTTCTTGGAAACTTTTGTGTTGAACGTGCACAGTTCAACAGCCAGATCCGAACCAGCCAAAGCCGGAGGCGCCCAGATGCTGCCATGCGCGGGGAGCAGCTGGGTGCGTCACCAATGGCCTCCGTCCCTGGAGGCCGCGCGCAGCGGTGGGACCATCTCCCCAGAAGGCGCCGTGCCTGACCACCATGGACACCACACCGGAACCCCTGTACATCCTCACTTACGGTAATGCCGCGCCTCCCGCCTGCCGTGGCGCCCGTGGGTGGCCGCTGCCCGTGTGCAGACAGGAATCGCGGTCGGCGGCCAGGCGTGTGTGTTTCTGGTGTAGCGGTGAACGGAGTCCGCTGGCTTGGTGGCCCCGCCTGTGATCCAGAATCTCAGGGCTGAGGCAGGAGGAATCGCTTGAGGCCAGGACTTGCCAAGGCCAGAGCCTAGGCAGCACAGCAAGACCAACGCCCTGAATAAAACTTAAAAATCAGCCAGGTGTGGCGGCACCCTCCTACAGGCCAGCTCTTCTGGAGGCTGAGGTGAGGATCGCTTGAGCCGCCATGAGGTCGAGGCTGCAGTGAGCTGTGATTGTACTGTGGCGGGGCCACAGTGTGAGACCCTGTCTCCAAAAAAAGAAAAAGAATGAAATCTGAACAGATTTTTAGGATAGGAAGTTTATTTGGTTTCAATATGAAAGTTACTATTTTGCTACATGTTTTCTGAGTTAAAACCAGAATGGACACTTAAAGCAGTGATCATGACCCTAAAGAGATGTTAGATTTTAGTTCTGGAATATATACGTGATTTTCGGGGGAGGAAGAGTGCTTTCGGCAAGGATGGTACTTTGAGAATTCACCTAAACTGTGTTCGATGGATGTCACTGGGAAGAAACAAAATGTTTCCAAAGTTTTAACGTTTCCGGAAAGCCAGAGAAACGAGCTTTCCCTGATTCCTCTCTTGATACAGTTAGTGCAGTCTGCAAACTTCCTGCCATAGCTACCTGCCGCAGAGATGCGTCTCTCTTTGTCCCGTGGACAAAGTGGGTGGAGAGAGCAGGTGGCTGGGTTGGTTTTCGCCGTTCTGCTTCATCTTGCAAAGAAACGAGCCTGATGACTCAGAGAGCAAGCGTCGTGTAGTGTCTGTGGTTGCACAGTCATGATGACCTCTGTTTGACCGTCCGGTTTTCTCTGTTAACCCACATGGCCCGAGCGCAGTGCTGTGAACCGGGAGAACGTCCTAGGAATTACATCTATCACGATAAAACGTTCCTTTGCTC